TCTTAGAATTCTGACGACTTTTTTCTCAGAATTCTGACTTTTTTCCCATATTAAACTGAAATAAAATTTAAAAAAAAAATTTCAGTGACCCTAATCCTCTTCCATAAGAGTTGGATAGAAGAGAGAATGTTTTAAACTATTGTGTGGCCTCGTTCATAAACCAACCATTTCTGTTAACTAGGTGTCTTTGACAACATGAAAATCCTGCCTACATTTTCCACAAGGGCTAAAAATATATATTATTTGGTATTTTTTTATATTTATATCTCTACATTTTCTGGTGATTTTCTTTTAGATTTTCAGGATGAGCACTTTAGATTGTGTGTATTTCTCTGAATGACCTTAACCTCCTGCTATCAGAATGTTAACCCATTTTCATTGATTGTATTATCCATCATAACTTGCATAAAATCACCATAATCTGTTCTTTTTGTAAACCTTGAAAAACTCTGAAAAGCACATTATTAAAACAGCACAGAACTGTTCCATCAGCAGGAAGGGATGACTTTTAATATTTCATTCAAGGGCTGGGTGCATTATAACATTAAATCTTTTTTTTTATTTCACATAGAAACCCATACATGCTGAAATATTTAAACCCAAATCATGAATCGGATTTGATAACTGAGGTCCAATGTCCATTATGATTTGAATGTTTACAGTTGCAGATGCTGTGTCTTTCCCCACGCCTACCGCCGTGGCGGATAGTCGTGCTCCCCTTTGTAAATCGGTCCTGTTTTCCCTGGACAAGGACAGATAAGCACTTTTCAGCGTGTTGTTTTGTGAATAGGCCTGCGCCGCGACATCGGAGGTGACCAACTTTTGGTAACGTTTACTAAACTCTTCTCATTTGGATGTATTTGATATACCAGGTTTGTATTTCTGTAAATACGTATGGAGTGGAAAGAAACCAACCCCCTGAATGCCTCGACATGTCCTGAAACAACTGTCCCCGATGCTTTAACTATTGTGTTGTCTTGATTTAATCGCTAAAGTGATTGCAGAGTCATCCGACTGAAAAAGCCGACCATAAAAAATCGTTTTGGATAGATTTGATCGGTATGTTCTGTGAAATGTTTATGAAGTATCTCTCTCTCTCTCTGTTGTTCTGTGATGATTTCTTTAGAACACTGTCATTTTTGCAGCCCAGTACGGTGCCCATTACAAAAGCCACAACCCTACTCATCCAACAGGCCTTTGTGGATAAATGTGCGGTAGTGCAAATGAATCGCCTCGGCTGTACCCGTGTTGAGTTCTAATGTTTACAAAACTGCGATCACTTAGACGCCATTTACGACATCGGAAAACGCTGACTATTACAGCGAGCTGTGCATAATGGGGTTCAAACCGACAGTGCTGCTAATCCACAGCATTTGCTTTATGCACACTGTACTATGGGACACTCATTTTGTTTACATTTGGATGAAGGATTTTGTCCTTTAACACTCGTGTGGATTTTGAGCAGTATTTCTGTACATTTAATAAATGGTGGAGTATCTTATATAACCATCTGGTGTCAGAGTTCTCTCTTTTACGCAAACATCACAGAAATTAACTTATGCTTCAAATTATAGGCATTAACTCCACAGCAGCCTGCTGAATGGAGCTTTTTGAGAATAAGGCCATCTGTGCAAGCCCTACTTCAGTATTGATTATGCACTAACAAAAGGGGTATTGTGAAGTGTAATCGATACTGGAGAAGGTTTTCTGTGGAGGACTTCGTCCCCCTGAAAGGCTCTCTCAGCTCTCTTTATGAACATAAAACAAGCCCTGTAGGTGCAATGATGAGAGACAAACAATGCCTTTCTGATCAAAACTACAACTAGATAGATAGAATGTGTTAAAATGTATCTTTTTTTTCATTAAAAAAATTGAGACAGTCATAAACCAGGTCAAAAAGAGAATAAAAGCAAAATGCATAACTTAGCTGTTCTATTAAAATGACTTAATTGTGTCCACAGGGCATGTTTGACACAGAAATGCACATTACAAAAAAAAAAAAAAAAAAACACCAAAAAACCAAAGGAAAGAAGGTCTGGGGTTGCTTTTCTTTGGATGACTGTTTGTAACCCGCCTGCCATTTATTTGCATCTTTTGTTTAAAGAAAGATTTTCTTAATTGTTTTATTAACCTGAATTTTACAAAAGCAAAGAACTCTTAAAGGGCCCATTCACATAAAAAAAGAAAACCTACATTCAATTTTTTAAATGTTAATCCCTAAATCCCTTTACTGTCCTTGTCCCACAATTCCATCTCTGCATTTAACCTATTCCCTTGGGTTGCAGTGGGCTGCCATTGTGCAGCGCCCGGGGAGCAGTGCAGGGTTAAGGGTGTTGCTCAGAGTCCCAGAATGCAGCCTGTGGGGATCAAATAGGTACTTGCAACCTTCTCAGAGCACATGCACACTGCTCCTCACTGGGCCAAAACTTATCCTATGCTGCATAAGTCAAGCCTTGGTCCTGCAGGGCGTGGATGTAAAGCATCTTGTGTCTCAGTGGGAGAGTGCAGCATGGGTGTTGCTTGCCACAGAACAGGAAGGACTTAGAATGGGTGAGTTTCACTATCCTACTATTACCTTTGCTAGAGAGCAACGGTAATAGTAGGATGCCATCTAACAACCGTGGACTTAGTTTAAAGCTACATATATGCCTGTACCATAAAGACCAAAACCCATTTATTATGATAAAATAAGGGTCTTCGATGGACTGGCGGCCTGTCCAGGATGCAACCCGCCTCTCGCCCGTAGAGAGCTGGATAAAGGCACCAGCACCTCTCACCATCCCAGTAGGGAAGGAAAATTAATGGATGGATGATCACATTAGATTAGATTAGATTCAACTTTATTGTCATTACACATGTACAGGTACAAGGCAACGAAATGCAGTTTAGGTCTAACCAGAAGGGCAATAGCAGCAAGTGCAGGATAAATTATGGTTCCATAAATACAGGACATGGGTTTTACTGAATGAGTATAGAGATGAATACTTATTATAAATAATGAATATAATATATAGATCACTAGTGTTATGAACTAAATTCAAAGATACCGAATATAATATACAGAGGGATATCAAGGGCAGGTTATACTCCCTGCAGCAGTGTGTCACAGGGTGCTTGTCGCTCACTGCAAAGTTAGTGAGATTAAGAGTTTTTAAGTTATTGGTGGCAGCCAATAACTTAAATTGAGACTCTGAAGGTACTGCAAGCTTTCAAAGCTCAAATTAGAAAATCTTTAAAAGTACGCCTGACAAAGTCGAATGAAGCAAACAAGCCATGTAGGGCAGTGACTCCTAACCCTGATCCTTTAGGCTTCAGTGGCTGATTAAGTTGCCTCTGAAGCACCTGGCATCATACTGAGGCGGTAATGGATGATCTGGAGGCAGAGGCACATCTTAAACATGTAGGACTGTAAGACGAAGAAAATGTGAGAGAATGTCCTCTGATAGAAACCAAATTTGAATGAAACATGGTGGTGGCTGCATCATGCTGTGTTTTTCTTCAGCAGGGAAAGGTAAATGTGTGAGGTAAGAAATAAACAAGGTAGAATGTCCTCTTCCAACAAAGAACCGATCTAATACAGACTGGTTAGAATTGATCTTATTCATTTGTTAGATTATTATGATGTCAAATTTCTAAATCCAGCTGAGAATCAGGGCTGGGAATTGAATTTTTACAATCAACAAAATACATGTTGGTTTCCTTTACCTGCAATGTCACAATAACGCGCTCCTTTGTGTTTGATTGAGACATAAAATCAAGAGAAAATAATGAGTCCATGTGCTTTGATCTTTTATTGATCAGGCTGTTACCTGTGACGTATTTGCTCAGTGAAAATCGGAGCAATTTCATCTGCTTTTTTAATTAAAAGTTCTCAGGTCTGCTGGGTGTCCTTGGCCACGTCAGTGTCAAATAAAACCTTAATGAACAGGTGACGCGCTCTGCAGCGACGCAGCCGCTGTTCCTCCTCTGAGCGCGCTCTGGCTGGATACCGCACCGCGGTCAGGTGGGGAGCTGGAGCTCAGCTGAAAGCACAAGGTCTCCACTGATAGAAGATATAAAAACATAGTTATGATACAGAGAGAAGATGATGTGGATGAAAGAGCAGCGGAGGCGGAATAGATCGGATCCGCCGCGATGAGCGCCTCTTTCCCCAAATCTGAATCCACCACATCTTTACTCAAACCATCGAGGAGATCGACACACCTCCCCGATCAGACATCAGAGATCCGGAGAGGTCAGCATCACCATCAGCACCACCACCGTCCCGCCGCGCTCCACAGCAGCGGAAAACCAGACGACTCCTTCTGGTCGGCGGACGGCGACGTCAGCGCGCGCAGACCCCTGTGCCATCCCTCCGCGGCCGGCGGCCAGGAGGGGAGCCATGCCGCAGCCGCACGGGGCAAACCCAAGCCCCAAGGTTCCCCTCAGCCGGCGGACAGAGAGGTGAACCCCAAACCCGCACACCGTCACCACCACCACCACCACCGCAGGAAGCACCACCACCCGGATGACCCCGAGCATCACCTCCCCTGTCACGCGCACGCCCGCAGGCTGCCCTCCCTCTCGGACAGCACCGATGACAGGGCCCCGCTGTGTGAGCCCAGGGACCGGAAGAGGAGCAGCACGGCCGGCGGCGGCGGTCAGCTCGGCAGTCCCTCCCCGTCCTCCTGCTCCCCTGTCCCGCCTTCCAGCAGGTCGTCCCGCCGCTCCAGGAGGTCCAGCGCAGCTTCCTCCGCATCCGACATCAATTTGAGGAGCATCCTTAACTCCCTGTTCGGGCAGGTAAAAAAAAAAAAAAAAAAAGAGCTTATAATCATTTTAAATGAATAATAGAAAGTCTAAATGATCTGATAAGTTGTGACAGCGATGCCCCAAATCCACATTTAGATTCAGAGAATCACATCATCTATAATTAATCCCCAATTCTCCCTGAGTCTCACTCTGCTGTTTTTTCTGGCCTCCTCTGTGCTGCTGTCTGCAAACACTCATTACTGGACAATTTTGGAGACAAAAGGGCTCCTTTCACCTTTTACTTCTTATGTAATTTGGAAAACACAGAGCTGTACCTCCTACAGGTTTCCTCAATCAAGCCGCTCTTGAAGTAGGACAGAAATATGCTTCAGGACCACAGAGGTGGAAATCTCTGATGTGCTAATGTCCCTGTGGTGAAAAGCAGAAAATGATTTAAAAAAACTAAAAAGATCTCAGTGTGGACTTGTTCTCCCACAGCATTCAGCTGCAGTGATTGTTTCTGTTTAAAGGCTGTTCCTGCTGCTGGTGGAGCATCTATTTGGAGCTGCCAGAGGTATTTATACAGAGGAGAAGGAGTGCAGCTTTATGAGCCGCTCTCTTATCTCTGCTGTCATTCTGCATAAATTGGCTGCTTTGAAAGGAGCGCTTTATGGTTGCAGGTTGAGAAATCCTCAGAGCGGTCCAGCTTAAACCTTAAACCTGGATAATGTGTTTACTGGGTGCATTCCAAAGAGGTCAAGGTTTACTCACTTCCATGTTTGGTAATTAGATTTTATCCAGAAGGGATTTACATACCCTGTTTTGTAAAATAAAACATTTGTTATAAATATTCATGCTTTAACCTTAAGCTTTTATCTTTATACTGAGATTTTATTATGGAAATCTGGATGGGAACATTATAAACAATTTAAAAATGTTATTTGTATATATGTTCATCCTGTGATGGGTTGTTTTATTCTCCCCCCCAGCTTTAAACATTTTGACAGACATTTTTGATAAATATTCTTTATAAAATATATTTCCACAGTCAGATTCTCATTAGAATCTGGGTCTGGGCTTGGACTAGGCCATTCCAACACCAAAGCTAATAACGAGTTGTTTGGCCTCGCATTAAGTTCTATCCATTAAATTCAGCCAAACAGGAACAGACCAGATGAAGCTACTGTGAGATAAAGCTGAGAAAGCAGAATGTTAGAGATTGAACTAACAAATTGTGCAGAGTGGGAGAATAGAGATAGAATGAAACAGAATGATGAAAAAGGGGTCCCTATGTCCTCCAGCAGTCTAAGCCTATAGCAGCATAACTATAGAGATAGCTCAGGATAACCTGAGCCACTCTAACTATAAGCGTTATCAAAAACGAAAGTTTTAAGCCTAGCCTTAAAAGTAGTATAACTAAAAGATCTGCCTCCCATTCTCTATCTCTCTCTATCTTACCACGGAGTATTAGGGCCAGGCTAGAGATTTATATATTCTTTTCTATTTTGATAGAAAGTCATATTTTTGAAGTCATATTATTTTGAAGTCATAACATTACAACAATAAAGTTGTAATATTGCAAGAATGAAGTCATCATACATCATCCCCTTTCAGAAAGAAAGCTTGGAGCTCCGCCCAGCAGATGACGGACGACCAGCTCCACCAATCAGCAACCTGAGTCCACTTTGACATATTGCCCAATTTGATGCTGGTGCTAAAAGATTGGCTTATTTGTCAAACCGATGCATTATGTCAATTATAACTTCACATAATGCTTGAAATTCCACATTTTAGGGAGTTGTGTAGGAGTTGTCATAAAATACGACTTTATTCTTGTAATTTTATGACTATTCTTCTTGCAATTTTATTCTCGTAATTTTATGACTTTATTCTCGTAATTTTACGACTTTATTCTCATAATAGAAAACCCTAATAACCTGGCCCTAATGCTTCATCGTACTAAATAAAATGATAAGGCCTCTAAGAATATATTACGCCCACAATGCAAAAAATGTAAATCTAAATAAGTCATTTTTTCTTAAATAAGAGCATTTTTTCTTGAATTGAGGAGGTAAGTGAGAGACTTTGCCAATAGAACAAGACAATTTACATTTGAAATAAGAAAAAAATATTGCATTTTCTTATTTCAAGTGCATATTATCTAATTATCTTATTTTAAGTGTAAAAATACTCATTCCATTGGCAAACTATCTTATTTACCTGCTCAAAATAAGGGTAAATACAATTGATTTAAGAATTTTTTACTTATTTTCAGATTGTTTTTGCAGTGCAGGTTATCACAGTAAAAGGGGTAAGTAAGGTCACCAGCCACACTTTTAAGATTTTTCAAAACCTCAGATGATCTCTCCTCCATTTCCCAATCATAAGCTGCTTTATTTTGGTCCATCACATGAAACCCTAATAAAAAGAGGCACTGTTGTTGGCGAAATAAAAATCTCTCAATCATAAAGAAAACATGTTGCTCATCCCTCGAGGGAAGCCATCTGATACTCATAGTATGAAAATCCATTTGTACAGCTCAGCCATGAGTCAGCCTGGGAGCATTCTGGGAAAACATTAGCGTGACCTCAAGGCAGTTTTTTTTGTTATGTTGAAAAAACCTACAGTCGTCGGTGAGGAATTTAGAAGACGGAGATGCAGAAAGCAGCTCCACAGCCACACAAAGACTCCACAGGAGCGGCTCGTCAGGTATGCATAAACAGACGCTCATTAGGCAGCAGAGGACCCTTATATTAATTAGCTTGTATTAATTGCAGGAGGTGTTAAAAAAGAGCATGATGTTCACTCTGTATAAATACAAACACGTGTGGTCAGTTTGGATATGAATGTCACTGGGATAAACACACAGGCGATATTTCTCCCACTTGCTTGTCTTATTGCTGTGTGGCTGCTGGCTTGGAGGTCAGAGTCACCTTGTCATCACCTGCAGAGAGCAGAGGATGACGTGCATCACAGCCTAAAACAAAGACGTGCGCAGAAGGTCTTCTGCCTTCAGAGAGGCTGGAAATAACCGCTTGTTTTGTGTCCAGGTGAGGACGACTTGAATGTAACAGAATGTTCTCCGAAACTTGCCTTGGCTGGGTTTCCACAGCTGAATCTGTGTGACAATGATTAGACTTCAGAGGCACATTTGGTGATCAAATGCAGCATTTTTCCCTCTGTTTTTGATCTCCGTCAGCCTGCGCCGAGGTATCCGCACTGTTTACAGAATAATCCACAGCGTGGTTGTTGTGACATCTGAATGAAATGTTTTCAGAGGTCCCTTTTCCTTTAATAGGCATTATTATCTTTCCACCCTCAGCCCTCCCTCTCATGCTTTCTCTCCCCTTCTCCCCTACTTCACTCTGCTTTGTCCCCCCCAATGCTGTTGCTCTCACTGCTCTGGATAGTAGATTGTTATCATAGGGACAGGTTAGCACCCAAGTCTTCATGGGTCTTTCTAAAAGTAAAGTTTGTTTTCCTCTCAAAATCCGACAAACAAATCTGAAGGATAGAAAGTCCTCATGGTCGCTTTTATTGCCTCTTTTTTCGATTGGAATGGGAAACTGCTTAGACTGGCCTCTCAGAACGGTAAGGGATCTGGGATTGTTGCAGATTGATAAATTATCGGTTTCAGGTTTGAGCAAATAGTTGCAGCATTTTCTAATGAAACTTTTGATATTTAGAAATTTTGGTTGCACAGCATCCCTTTGGTAATTGTGAGCTGTTTCCTGGGTGTTTAGCTGGCCTCTTCTCTCCCTCTAAGTTTGTTTACTCTTCCTGCGACAGAGTACAGGTGTAAGGTGCCAGTTTGTATAAGAATAAAGTAAACTGTTATGAATAATGAGTGGAAAGTTGGCAACATGTTTGTTTTATACCTGTATTTAGGTTAACTTTCTGCTCAGACAGTGTTTCTCTTGTAGGGACACACAGTGAGACTTAGAAGTTCGGCTTTTAAAACCTGAAGCACAGATTTCATAAAGATAAATAAGCTGCTTTGCATTTTCCTCTTGAAGAACGAAGGCAGCTCAAAGTTAAACTAACTAGTGCCTTGCAAAAGTGTTCCTATAACCCACTGAACTTTTTCACAATATATAATATTTCAGCAGCAACCATCTGTGTATTCAGGACGGATTTTAGAAAAAGATTTGCACTAATTTGAAGTAGCTATGAAAATATTTAAGGTGTTATTTGAAGTCTTCAGCTTCTCGATTCAGAGCTCTTTTCAATTAAAATACCGCTGTAGGTCCTATGGTTTTGTATCTATATCACTATTTGGTCTATTTGATCATACAGAGAATAAAAAATGTCAAGTGTTCCTTGTTTTCACATCCTTCTACAAACTCTTTAGCATCGGCGATCTTCCAAGATTATCAGAGTTGTAGAGTAAAAGATGTACCTGTTGATAACAGTTACAATTTCTTCCGGAGCTAAAGGAAAAGTCCGCTCATATTCCGAATTCAAGCTTCTGAAAGTACTTTAAATATGAAATTTTTACATATTGTTCAATAAATGATACGTTTTTTTTATTAAGAGTATTTTTCATTTAAATGTGCTTTACTGGAGGCATCCATGTTTGTCAAAGAACACTACTGCCACCTACTGGTGGTTTGTGATGTCACGGTGCGGTATCGGCTGTTGATCAAGTCCCAGTGCTGTATCTGGTGTTTGTCACAACGCGCTATTATCCAAGTAATTTCGAAAACATTCTACTTCCAAATGTTGGCATTGTCAGTTTCACTATAGCTCTGGTGAATTTCAATGGTGACGTCCTCTGGAAATCTTCAATAATTGTTGTTGATTGCAGATGTGTCTAGTAGTTCCCATTGATTTTGCTTGTAAAGCGGGGAGAATGGCGCTAGGCTTACCGCACCGTGACGTCACTGCTGGAAGATGGCAGGAGGGAGGGGTTACTATATTTGGGCAAAAATGGCCGCTCCCAGACTCCGTGAACCCAACAAAAATTATTGTTATTATTTTTTTACTGACTAACGCTAAATTCTTAAATCATCGCAAACGTATTAGTTTTAGGTATAGATAATGATCCATTG